TTGGGTTTTTTTGCTGGAAAAAAAAAAAATTTTTGGGAAAAATAAAAAAAAAAAAAAAAAAAAAAAAAAACTTATACAAAATAATTTATGCACAAACTAATTTTAACTTAAACTTATTTTATTTTTCTATCGTAGAAAAGTTATCTAGATAGATCCTAAGTAGATAATATTAAGTAATATTCAACAAGGTATGCTGAGATAACATGACACTGAATAAGATGATCATGGCCATAATTGATAGACTATGTGCATCTTATTTTAGAAATCATCGATAATCTGGAGACAATGAAATAAAATATAAAATAAAATATTTAATCTCCTTCATCGTTATTAGTACCTCGTGGGGTCTTTCAGGTTGTAAGTAATGCCTTAAGAAATGATATTGTTCAGTCATATTTGGGTACCTGCATTATAAAAATGTTGAACTGAAGTAACTACCACAAATCTTGACTAAAGGAGAGAAGCAAGCATAAAGGACTTACAAGTCGTAGTCACAATCAAAGCCAGCATATTCTGCAAAGTGGTTTCCTATATCATATCCTCTGTAGTTGTATGATGCATATTCGTAATCAATGAAGTAAAGTTTATCTGGAGAATTGTCAAAACAAATTAAAAATATTTGAAGATGTAAAGCTCAGATGAATTAATAAATAAGATGGTTATCTAAGCATTCTCTCTGCACATGTCAATGTTACACTATTTGTCATGCCAAATGCCAATTCCAGAAGCATGCCCGTCTCCCTATGACTTTGTTATAAACAGAAAGAATGAATATAACTCCTAAACAAACTCGGTAAGTTTTATTTAATGACTAATCTTGTATACATCATTTCTTCTCCTTTAATTTAACTCCTAAAATCTTTTAAATGGGAGCTATTATACCAAACTCATGATCCTAAGTCCTAACTGTAAAGTGATTTTGTACTCATTTAGCAAACAGTGAAAAAAAGCAGATATAACAACTTTTCATTGACAAAAGAAAACAATTCAACACATTATATTTTTAAACCTGCAAATGTTTCCCAATCAGAAATAAGAAGATTACAGTAATGGCTGGCACATGAGTATGCCATGCACATATATTAGGAAGAAAGACAAAGGAAACATCTACAGAACTATTTATATATAAATTGGGTTGGGGTAAAGATCCAAACTGTAGTGATACTATAGAACTCTCGACTCTTGAGGCATAAAATGGCAAGCATAAGAAAAAGTTAAAATAAAAAGCTACCAAAATCTGCTTTAACATCTAAAGTCACTTCTACAATAAATAAACAATTATAATCTACAGTAATAGTGTGGAAGCACAAGTATGCTTACAAACAGGGTATTTAGATACCTTCTTCATAATTAATCATTATATTTCCAGAAAGCAAGTCGTTGTGAGCAAAAATTACAGGAGATTTGAGAAGATCACACAATCCCTGTTACAAAATTTCAAAATAAAAAATCTGTCAAGAGAAAAATTGTTGACACAAATAAAATGAATCAATCACTACTAATTTAACATTTTCAAAACTATTCACAAATTTGTAAGTTATCTTCACAAGCACAAATGGGATGGAAAAGGCTATGTTTTTAATCCCTTGGCAAGCACACCAGTTACTCCTTTTTTTTTGGCATACTGATTGAATATTAAAAGCAAAAATGATCCCAAGTCACCATTAAAAATATAACCTTAACTTTCAAATCTATTGATTAGCATTGGACTTCCAGAGATGGTGGTAATTTATATTCACCTTGACTTCTGCATTGCAATGAAATATAAATACAAAGATAACAGCTAAGAGACGAAAGAGCAAGTACCTTGAGCTCAACGATTTCATCATGAACTTCCTTGAATGAAATTGTCTCATAAGTCTTCTGCATTTTACTATCACCAAACTCAAGAACAGATGCTGTGAAAGAAAACAAAACAAGTAGCAACTCAAATACTAATAATACCAATCTTTTAAGCATATAGACCTTGACAAAAGAATATTGCATGAAGTTAATTTATCTTGATGATAGCTTTAATAAGTTGAAGCAGCACATCTCACATAGAACTAATGATATAGAATGAAAATCACAAGGAGCTTTTATGTAACAAAATACAGACACCAAATAGATTGTATATTAAATCTAGGCCAAAACAACTAGAGATCCTTCACAAGACATAACAGATCATTTCAGTATCATAAGCTATTTCTCAAACTTAAAATCAGGGAATGGTGAAAATAAAAAAACTGAAGGGATTCAAATCTTTGGCCAAAAAAAATAACGCATGACCAAAATCATAGAACTCAAATAAACACAAAAATCAAGTTGGCTTCATAGAAAATAACATAAGTAACTCAAGCAAAAGAAATAGAAGCGGACACAGACCGCACTAGTTAGAAGAAAGAAAAGATAACAGACCTTTCTCAAAGAACTTCCAGACATCATCCCATAATTGAGGTTCCTTTGAGCCTGGAATTTCCACATGATGAAATATTTTAAGTTGCTTAGCTATCTTAGCAGCCAGCTTTGGTTCCCGCATATCTGCCATGGAGAAAATGCATTTGTGAAGCCATTAAACCAGTTGTAGCTCTACAGGTAAACAAAGGTATAATAACATGTAATTAAATTTAAATGAAAGAAAAATCAGATTCAAAGCTTTAACTCCAAAATCCAAATAAGACCTGATTAACACATTTCAAAGAATACATACACACACACACTCACACATATGTATGTATAATGTATGGGGATTTGATAAATAGTGGGGTTAAATAACAAAATATTAAGTACTGAGTTCGTAACAATGAGAACTTCAGCTTACAGCCTCCTCATGATCAACACAGGATGAAAGTCTATGGTTGAGTTAGGCAAGTTCAAAATTTCCACATTTAAACCTAGGTGATTAATAGGTAAAACCCAGTGATCCCTATCCAATGTAAGTTGAAGTTCATCCTTAAGGAATTTACTACAGGACTATAGTCCATAAAGGTAAAAGATAGTAATTTAATCTGAATTAAGTTTATACAGCAAGAAATACGAAATTTTGGAAAACATCTATCTATAACAATAGATAAAGGGAATACTTTCCACTTCCATTAAGTGAAAAGTACCCTTCAATTGCTTTTGGTCTCCATTTTTAATGGACCATTTTGTCCTTTAAATAAAAACTTCCATTAAGTAATTGCACATTACAAATCTATTGCAAATGAAAACTCCCCACTACTCAGACAATTGTTTTTTTTCTCTCTCTCTTAATATATTTCTTATTTTCCATCTCACGACCTTCATCCCTCACTATAGCTAATAGCCTGATACACAATAGTTTCCAAAGTTATTATTTTTTTATGAAAAATAAATAGAGGCATGAAGTGTCTCGACTAGTACCCAGTAAAGAACTCACTACAAGACTACAGCTCCCAACATCATTCCCTAGAATGATACATTCAACAAAAAAGGATAATTCTATAAATGCTACTGCAATGTATATAGCAAATGCAATACTGGGAACAGATCCATTCTCTATATATGCTTCAGGTTTCTGACAAATATTATCAAGAGCACCCCAAAGAAGGAAATTTAGCAAAATATATTTGCATTTATCAACCTGACATTGCCATGATGTTTAAGACATGATTTTTCCCATTTGTACCTGAGGGAGATAGAGTATGTGCATTTATAAAGGATTGCACCATGCCATTCCCAAATATGCCGAGCCACTTAGCACCAAATCCTTGAGCTGTGATGTATTTGGTAGCCTAAACACCAAATTTCACAAGCAATTACAAGGTAGAAACTTCAAGTAAACTGTTGAGTATGTACATATAAGCAACTAATCTACGATCAACTAAAATACACCATTAGTATTCATATCTTTCTCTTATCACAATTTATAAATCATAACCGAGATCCTCTGTGTCCACAACTATGCAGGAATATATTTCAGGTAAAACTAGAAGTGCAAACATGGTTTCTCTTTCTTTCTTTTCTTTTCAGCGTTAAATGAAAAAAAAAATTGTAAAACAAAATCTACAAGGTATTTTAGTTTCTGTGGAGTTTTGTTGCAAGTTGTGGTTTGCTTATCTTAATTTGGCCTTATCTCAAGCATGCATAAGGCAAAATAATGAAATCAATAATACATATTTAACGAATTGATATATTTATAATTTATAATGAAAGACATTTTCAAGTCCTACTTCTCAAAAAGTAAAATACCAAAATCTTTATATGCAACATCATTTACCATAGGAACCCCCAAATTTTTATAAGCTTTTTTAATTATTTTTTATGGTGCTTCAAAGAGAGAGAAGGGGGGGGGACAGAAAATAAAGGAATGAATTATTATATTACCAAAAGGTAGTTTATCTTAGTAAGAGATAAATAAAGCTCAAAATGAACAATTCAACTTGCAATGGCCAATTGATGAAAATCTGATATCCCCCTAATAATAAAAAAAATGATACTACCAAGGAGAATGTTTCTACAAGCATATGTACACCTTCAGTTACCATGTAACATTCAATTAATTCATTGGGTAGTGAATAACATTTGCAGAAATAACAAAGTAAAATAAAGACAGCAACATCAGCACAAGATGACTGAAATAATTTGACTAAGAAAAGCATGCACAGGCATTCAGTGATATGGCTAGTTTCGTATGTAATCATGCAGTACATTGTCTTACCTGCAACTCCCGCTGACGATCAATAATGTACTCAGTGTTGGGTCCATACAATCTGACGGTTATAATTTCCTCAATAAAATTTTCCTTTTTAACCGAAACCTTGAGTACTGAAAGACATTCACAAATCCCTCGGTTAGGTTCCACATCAACAACACTAGAGACTATAGATGTACAACAAGTATTTGAAAATGTAGATTTGATTGTAAAACTAATTTGTAAGGTGAGAGTTGTTAATATACATACTACTTTGGTTATATTACTACTCGGTGTAGAATATCCAACACACCTAATGCAGGTAGTTCAATAAAAGGTAGCCCAATAGGCCCAAACAATAATTGTTCGGATAGACTCCCACACCATCTTAGAATGTGGGTTCAAAGAATCCAACAAATTTGACTTGTAAGGTGAGAGTTGTCACTCCCCTTATATACACTACTTTGGCTATATATAAAATCTTAGAATGTGGATTTAGAGCTAACTCATTCTAACAAAATTGACTTGTAAAGTGATGGTTGTCACTCCCCTTATATACACTACTTTGGCTATATATAATTGATGTGGGACCTCTGAGAAATGAAAGTTAAATAGGTTATTTTTCTGGATTTGGCAAGTAAACCGTTCTCCAGACATAGCCATTAAGCATATGAAAATCAATCTTGAGGTCGACGACAATTTTATATCCTTTTTGGGCCTGGAAGAAATGAGAGTAATAAGAAATAACTCACACAAATTTGTTATGCCCCCGGAAATCTTCTCAACATGAAAGCAAGAATCATCCAAATTCGACCATGCCTTGAACATATCCTTGCACAACTTTCTGCAAGCATTCACCAGAAAGAAAGAAACGGAAACGATGTAATTTCAGGAACAGGGAACATTTAATTGCAAAAACAGACCACAAATTCAACGAATGAACATCGAAAGACGGACTAGGTTGCATAACAACTCAAAATCCAAAGAAATTGAACAATCTCGAAACCCCAATTTGACTCAAGTTTCCATCAAAACCTGTCCCACTTTCCCACATAATCCCAGCAACCAAACGCCAGAAACGATGAAACAAACCCATGCAGATTCAAAAGAGAAGCGCGCGAAAAAAACCAAGAAAGGAAAATAAAAAATAAAAAGTAAAAACAACATTACATTATTTTTATTAAAAGAAAAAAAAAACTAATAATTACGAACCGGACGAGAGGTGTCATTTGAGGAAGGGGGAGCGAAGGGTCAATGGTAAGAGGCGAGGGATGAATCTGCGAGGCATAGTCATGGCGAGCTTGCTCCGCAACTTCAACGGGGTTCCAGATCTTAACCTCTGCACCCATTAGTTGAACCGAAAAGGAGAAAGGGAAAAACAAATGAAGTTTGAAAAAGAGAATCAATAGAATGAATGTCTACGGTGGCAATGTTTTTTGTGGGGTTGGATATTTTCAAATCTTGCGTTGTCTCGCTTCCTCTAGCGTTGGAGGATTTTTTGTTAATGACCGAACAAACTCATGTGCCACGTCATATGATCCTCTGGAGTTTATAAATAAAAATTCCATACGGTGCGATTTCAATCTGACGGCTTTCAATTTTTTATAATTCTTTTGTAAACAAATTTAGTATATTAAGGGCCAAGATCTATTCCGAGGATCTAATTCCGCGTCTCTATGACCCAGCCAGCCAGCATCATTCTGATTTGACCGGTCTTAAATTTAATTTAATGTCTTTTCTTTTTAGGACTAATTTAATGTTTCTTGCAACAATCGAATACCGGACACGAGGATATAAATAATTTAATTCTGATTCTTGTGTATGTTTTCTGTTTCAATTTAATTTATAAACTTATTATTTCCGTGTAGATAATTCTTTTTTGGGTTTAGGGTATACAGTTAATCAATTAAAATTATTATTTTATATGATTTTTATATAATTATTGTATCAATAAATAAATTTATAGTAAATAATACTAGTTTGTGATTTTATGATAGTGTATATTTTTTCTCTTTTTATTTTAACATAACAAATGAATTTGTTTATTATTTTTTGTATTTCATCACTTTTCTCTATATGTTTTCAAACTTAAAAACTAATACATTGTTTAAAACAAATACATCGGGTTTCTTATCAAAGGCTTAATTTTTTTCTTATAAAAATGATTATATAAGAGTGATACTCTTTTGTGTTTTAAAATTTTTATTCCTTTGTAGGAGCAATAGAAGCCCTAATAGAATATCTAATTGCCCGAAAGGTTTTTATTTTATAAGCTCAGTCTTACAAAAACCTACATTTATTCTAATTAGATTTCAATAGCCTTTGAATCCACTGATTTTTTGTGGTATTGTTGGGGTGTGTATATCTGCTTGCAGATATCGGTGTCTGCCATTTTTATCTGTTTGTTAATGGCAATATTTGTGCAGGTATCTTCCATTACTTTCATGATATGTTGTATTTTGATAGCTAAATTATTCATAACAGGATCAACCTGATTATCATTCAAGCTATCTCTAATTTTTTGGCCTAATTTACCCGGAAGTTTTAGGAAAAGTTTTTCTCCTAAATTTTTGTCTGTAAAACCTCCAGCTATAGAAGCATACATTAGATAATCTTGGGTAAATTCTTTTATTTTTCCAAAGTAACTTATGGAAAGTCTTTCGAGATTTTCTAAATAAATTCTTTGTCTAATAGTGTTACCATCGTTTACGGACTGGGCTGTAAAGATTCTTTGTATAACACTACAAAAATTGTAAATGTTTGGTCCTGGGTCGATCAAATTGGTTTTAATCTGGTCAGGAAAAGTTTGTTTAAATGATTCCCAACAAGCTCTAGCTATATCTCCAAGGTAGGTTTCTGCTCGGGCAATCATATCTTGACTATTGGAAACATGATTTTCATGATGAATCCTATAGTCTCTTATAACAGCTGAAGTCCACTGTTCTATGTAATTAGGTAAGAGTTGGGGATCAACACTTCCTATGTTTAAGAGAAGAGATGGCATAATGAAATTGGGTTCTATAGGCAATCTTTTCCCTTTTGATTTTATGTTATCTCCTATGGAGAA